TCAGAACACATGCTAATCCTTTTAGTGAAGCTTCATAAAGTACTCAAAATCCTGCCATAATAGATGGAAGAGTCAGAACTAGAGAAAAAGTCAAACAATTTATTTAGCTTCTAAAATCTAGCATCTTAATCATATGTCCAAAAAAGAAATGGCTTATGAGTTAGTCTCATTAAATGTATAAACTCTATGAAAATTCATTTACAAATTCCTTGTAATACCTTACCATAAAATGTTATAAATCTGAAATACAACAATAGGCCTTGGCTAACCAACCATAACCTTAATCTTTAGGGATCTACAAAATAACCATACTACTCAATACATGACCAAAAAAAGAAATACTCCTAATTCAAAACACACACTTGAAGACTTAGAAATATAATTGATGATGCTGCAATCTCCAAAATAGTCCTTAGATGCATGACATGATCTTTCTCAAAAGTAGAATAAACTAGAATATCATCTATAAAGATTAAAAAAAAAAAAATTCTCCAAATATTCCTGGAACACCCTATTCATCACATCTATGTAAACACAAGGTGCATTAGTCACCCCAAAGGCATGACTAAGAACTCTTTGTGAACATATTGAGTATTAAAAAAATTCTTCAACACTTTAACTTATCTCAACTTCACTTGATAATATCTAGATCATAGTTAAATCTTAAAAAATATAGAAGGTTTTCTAACTGATCAAATAATTGTTAATCCTTGGAAGAGGATACATATTCTTAATAGTAACCTTATTTAACTCCTTATAGTGGATATGCATTCGCATCATAACATCTTTTTTCTTTACAAGTGGAATAAGGGTTCCCAACAGAGATACATTATAATGGTCAAATCCCCTATAAACTAACTTTTATAGCTACACTTTAGAGTCTCGAAGCTTCTTCAATGCCATACTATACTGAGACTTAAATATTAGGGTCATACCTAGAAATACATCAGTATATAACTCAATATCCCTATAAATGCTAATTAGACCCATTATCTAGAGAGAGAGAGAGACCTGTTTTCTAGAGAGAAAATTCTATTTTCAAAATTTTGAATTTCTATTGGATTGGCGGCGTCGCCGGAGCTTTTGATCGGCCAGCCGGCTTCCTTCTCAGGTGGTCGAAATATGGTCGATCCAAATGGTTGTTAATTTTCATCTCATCAAGAATCTTCAGTTGGGATTTATGACAGTAATCCAAAGATCCGTAACAATGGAGCATTGGTCATCAGAGAACCTTGTGTTGATCAGAAGAAAATTTCTTCCCCTGTTCCTTGTAAAGGAAAATAAGTGGTAACAGATACAATTGCTAGAACTCCATCTTCAATTATCAAATTTATAGCTAATAAAGTGGAATCTTCTTCATCTGGAATGAAGATTTTCGTCAACATATTTGGGAATAATATCTCAAAGGAAGACCCTGCAGTCCGACATGGTGAGACACAGTCATTGGATGTTTGTGGGAATGTACAAAAGACTTCTAAAGTTTTGAATTCAGGCCCGATAGAAACCATACAAAATCCATGGACTAAATGTCCATATATCAGGGATGACAAGCCATTAGGTGAATCAATCTTATCTTAAGATGTAAAGGCCATAAAACTGTTTGAGCCCAAAATTACTGAAAATTCTGAGAAACTCTAGAATTCAATAGTGGTTAAAGTTTTTGGGGTGGAAATTCCAGTGCAAGCAATAGATGTGGAATTGAGATGCCAATGGTCTCAATTCGAGAAGTTCCATTTGATGATGATTGGCTCAAGGTGGTTGTTGTGTTCTTTCTTCTCACAAGAGGCTGTGGAGAAGGTGATTTCTGGAGGTCCATGGTTTGTCATTGGACACATTATTGGTTTAGATAAATGGAATGCTAAATTCTCCACTACATCACTAAAGGGTCTAACTTCACCTGTTTGGGTTAGACTGCCGAATCTACCACTATTTTCTTGGGATGAGATTAATGTTGTTAGGATTGCATCTTTGACTGGTTGCTCTATACTAATTGAAGGTGTTCCATTGGGGAAGGAGAGAGTTTGCAAGAGTCTATGTTCATCTGGAACTAGACAAATAACTACCTATGGGTGTTTGGGTGGATGGACCTGAAGGAAGATTTTTTCAAAAAGTTAAGTATGAAAAAATCTCAAACTTTTGTTTCAATTGTGGTATAATTGGTCACCTTATCAATGTTTGCAAGGATAAGGGAAGCTCTCTAAATAACTGTACTGATCCATTTGCTAAAGGAGGAAGTTCTGATTTGCCAAGGAATGAAGATCATGTTAAAAATTCAAAATATGGGCCTTGGATCTATATTAGTCGTAATAGAAGGAGGGAGAATTTACCGCCTCAAAAAAAGAAGGTGGAGATAAATAAAGGCATGAAGGGAGGATGGACTGCAAAAAAATGGTGATTGGAGAGAATACCATTACAAATTTAACTTCAACAAAAGAAATTGTTGAAGTTGCAACAATTGTTAGTACAGAAACTGAGAAGTTGCATAGTGGAGAAAATGATGTGGGGGAGCTCAAAGATCCTACTAGTGTTGCTGGAACCGTGACAAAGGCCTCTTCTAATTCTGAAGTGTTTCCAATCCAACAGAATAAATTCAAATTGCTGGAGGTTAGCACTGAAATGGAAGACTCAGTAATGACTTTCCTGGCATAACCTACACTATAAGAAGGAGAAATTGCTATAAAAGCTGTGCTTGTAATAAAGTGGCTCATTCAAATTCTGGCAAAATAGTTGAAGAGGTTCTTCAAAATATGGGTAATTTGGAGAAAGCTAGTTCTGTATCTCTAAAACACTATTGAAAGAACTCAAACACCGTGGGCCTATGAACAATTCATCCAGGAAAAAAGTTGAGGGTTCTATTAAAGGGAAGAATGGGATCCCTCCCACCTCTTGTCTAAAATGACTTCTTTAGCATTTTGGAATTGTAGAGGGGCCAATAAGAGAGAAGCCTCTTTTAATTTGAAAGATTTTGTGAAAAATTGAAATGTTTTTTTCGTTGGTGTAGTAGAGACTAAAATCTCCTCTTTTGATAAAGTTGAGATTAGAAAGTTGTTGGGTGATGAATGGGATTTCTTCTTGTATCCCTCATATGGTACTTATGGAGGGATTATTATTTTATGGAAAGCAAATTTGGCTAAGTTCTCTCTGGTAGGATCTTCTCCCCAATGTGTTAGTGGTAAGCTTGATATCTTCAACAAAGGCACTTGGATGATCTCGACGGTAGATGGCAACAAAAGCTCTCACTTAAGAAGGAGGTTGTGGGAACAATTAGATGGTTGTGGAGAGAAGGATATACCTACGGTAGTAGGAGGTGATTTTAATTGTATATTAGCCCAAGATGAGAAAAAGGGAGGGAAGAAATTCACATTTTCTCATGGGCCTCAAGAAATGAGAGCTTTCATGACAAAGATGGATCTTCATGATATTGGCTTGGTTGGGCCAAAATTTACCTGGTGCAACATTAAAATTTGGAAGGCTCGCATCCTTGAGAGGCTTGATAGGTGTCTTTTGAACACTAAAGCCTTAGATGAGATCCATAATGCAACAGTTAGGCATTTGAATAGAATCGCTTCTAACCATTACCCGCTAGTCCTCATAATTTGTAATGAAATATCACAACAGAGAAGATTTATTAGATATGAGGTGTTATGGTCCTCATATCCGGCATCTCAAGCTATTTCTTGGAAGACTTGGAGTAAACCAGTTAAAGGTGATGCTATGGATGTTATTAATGTGAAGTGCAAAAGGGTGTTGAAAGCTCTTCATCATTGGAGCAAAACAAAACTGAAAAATTTTATGGAACTTAAAGAAACATTGAAGAAGGAGATCTCCATTTTACAGCTTGAAGAGTCAAATCACGGGGGGCTGTCTACTGAATAGCTAATGATGTTAAGATCTAAAACTTATGAATTGAATGTTACTGTGGCTAGGATTAACACATGGTGGAGGCAAAGAGCTAAGGTGAGGTGGATTCAATAGAATGTCATGAATTCTAACTTCTTCCATTCCGTTGCTAATGGAAGAAGATTGGGAAATGCAATTCGACAACTGAAGAATGAAGATGGAATATTGGTAGAAGAACATGCTGATATTGAAAGAATTTTATTTAAATTCTTCAAAGATAAATGGAAGAAACGGAACTGCCGCTTGGAGGGATAGCCACTAGGTTTTAAATTTTTGTCTGAATCTGATTATTTGCTGCTACAGGCGGAGTTCACTTTAACAGAATTGGAATTGGTAATCAAAAACTGCAGCTCTAGTTTTTCTCCTGGATTAGATGGAATTACATTTTCATTTTTTAAAAACTATTGGAGCATTATAGGTAATGAGGAGTGGATTGCTGTGAACCAATTTTTTCAAACCGGGAAGTTATGCTCTGCTTGGAAATAATCCCTTGTGATCCTTATTCCTAAAGTGCTAAACCTGAAAACCCCTGCAAGCTTCCATCCAGTAAGCCTTTGCTGTACCTTTTACAAAATTATAGCCAAAATGTTACTGAATAGGCTATTCAAAGTGGTTAGTGGACTCATTTCAAAAGTTCAAATTGCATTCATTAAGGAAGATCTTTATCTTCTCATATTTTTTTAGCCCATGAGCTTTTTAACAGACTCAGATTTTTGAAGTCTCAGAAAGGTTTTGTGGCTCTCAAAATAGATATGGAACAAGCCTACGATAGTATGGCTTGGGAAACGTTAAGATTGGTGTTAGATTGTTATGGTTTTCCAAATAATTTTACAAATCTACTCATGGAATGTGTGGAGAATCTTGAGTATTTTATCTTAATACATGGTAAAATTACTTAAGGTATCAAAGCAAAAAGTGGGTTTAGACACGGTTGTCCCCTCTCTCCTTATTTGTTTATCCTTTGCTCTCAAATTTTGACTGATGATTTGTCTCACAGAGGCGACAAATTGGGTATAAAAATCTCTAAAAATGCTACTAGGATATAACATTTATTGTATGTAAATGACATACTCTTATTTTCTTATGCAACTCTTAAATGTATGAAGAAATTCAAGAGGATTATAGTAGATTTTGGAAGCCGAACTGGACAAAAAGTTAATGAGAAAAAATCTATTATCCTGTTTGGAAAATCTGTGAAGAAGAATAGGAGGAAGGCAATATCAAAGCTTTGGAATTATAGAATTGTTAATGAGTTCAACTATCTTGGGATCAAGATGGCTCTTATAAGATTGGTGGCTTCAGATTTTAACTATATTCTAGAGAAAGCTGCTAACAAATTAAATGTTTGGGGTAAGCAATCTATTTCTCTAGCCCGAAGGCTAATGTTGGTTAAATCAGTAATGGCTGCATTACCAATTTTTATGGATGCTCACTCATTGGTTCCAATGAGTATCTTAAAAGAGTTGGATAAAGCTTGTAGAAGCTTTATTTGGGATAAACAAGGAGGTATCCACGGTTTACACTATGTGACTTGGGACAACTTATGCAAGAGTTTGAAGGAAGGAGGCCATGGTGTGTATTTAGAGGTCAACATTGCTAGTCCTTTAAGGACTAAATTTACATGGAGTTTGGTGAAAAAAGAAGAATCATTGTTGAACAAGGTTCTAAAGGCAAAATTTGGAATGAAGATTTGGGAAACTTCTAGTAATAGCAATAGTTCTACTTCTTTGAAAATCTTGTCAAGTGGAGCTCAATTTCTACATAAAATATCAAGATGGAAAATTGCATCAGGTAAAGCCATTAACATTATGAAAGATGTTTGGATCCTTGATAAGAGGCTAGATAGATGGCCAACCTTTATAGTGGTGGGAAATTCTAATTTTCCTCCTCTTGAATCTTTTCTTAATAATGGTGTGTGGAACAAAGTACTTCTCCTTGATTTATTTGGAAAGTCTCTGGTTGAAATTATTACCCAAATTCCAATTCATCCTGAGGTGGGTGATGATGATTTAGAACTGATGTACAATTTTTCAGGGAAGAGTATCACAGCTTTGGTTTTATCTTCTAGTGATAAGGAGATTGTGGAGGTGGATTATGGGAGCTGGTTAAGAAAGCTAAAACTAAATCTCACTAATGCTTTTTTTATGTACCAAAGGTTTCTTGGGCATGACTCATGTCCTAGGGGATGTGATGGTGAGGAAAATTCTGAACATGTAATGGTGAAATGTTTGAAAATTTAACAAGGATTGTTAAAAACCTAGGGTTTTCTAGTTCCAACATCCTCCTCAACTAGAGATTGTAAACTAAATCTAGAATGGCTAGTAACGAAAAATAGGTTCATTTCAAAGGTATATTGCTCAATGGTTTATTGTTCTTGAAAAAGTAGAAACTTGGTTAAAAATGGTAACCAAGAACTCAGTTTAAACTTCATAGCTGCTAATACAATTAGTTTTGCTTCTAATGCAAACCTTAATCTATTCGTGGATCACTGGATTAGTTGTTTTCTTATTGGCACCCTCCTCCCCCAGGATGGATTACGGTAAATATTGATGCTTCTCTAACAAGATGTAACAAAGGAGGGGTCGGTGGAGCTTTTAGAGATTCTAAAGGGAGGTTCTTGCTAGCTTTTGGAATCTCTTGCATTCATTGGGATTGTGGCTTTTTGGAGTTAATGGCTTTTCATTCTTTGAAGATGATCATCATGGAATGGATGTTCGATGCAAAAGGAATTATTATTGAAAGTGACAACCTCAATAATATCAATTACTTGCATAAAGAGTTGGAAGGGAAAAATTGGAAGGATCCAAATTAAGGAACTGAAGATCTTTCATTCTTGGATGGACTTGGTAAGATTCTTTTTCACTTTCCTAACAGAAGTTGTAATAAGTTAGCTAATTTTTGTGCTAACAATGCTTTAGAAGGTGATTTTTTTTGGGATGAATTAGATTGCAATAAGTTTTCTCCTTTATTTCTCAATTTGCTAAAGGAGGATTGTGATAGGATTCTATCACATAGTAGCTTGTAATAATTTTTCTTTATTTTTATTAATTCTATCTGCATTTTAATCAAAAACAAAAATCCCTATAAATGTGCAAAACAAAATAACTTCTTAAGAAAGAACTTTGAGAAATCCTGTACAATCATGTTATAAAAAAAAACATTCAAAATCTACTCTACTATCCCAAGTTGATGCTAGAAACAACACATAACCCTTCCCATATAGTCTATTTATTTTCATAATAGAGAACAACTAAGAAAAATATCTTTAACTGCATAAAATATAACTCTTGTTACGCATATATAATGTGGCTATTTTCCTAAGGTAATCAATTTATACTTAATTTTAGCTCAACTAGTCTATACCCAAAATGATGTAAAACTAAAAAAAAAAAGAGTAACAAAATGTAAATTGATCTTTACTTTGTATTATATGTGTCTCTAAGTCAAAAAAATCATGGACTAATGATTACCATACCCTCTTTAATTGATAAAGTAATGGACAAAGTAAAGAAAATAATATTAAAGGAAAGAACATCTAAATCAAAGTAATGTTTGGAAATAAATGAATGGCTGACTTTAAATTAAAAAATGTGATTATGGTCATAAAAAATATAAGCAAACCCTATATAAACATCTAGAGAATCTCTAGCCTTATCCTATGTCAAACTATATATACGTGCCAAAATTAGAGTTGGTGCAAAAGAATTACTAGGCTCTCTCTGACCTTAAAGTGGCCTCCTTATTATCGTACTAGAACCACTATACCTACTAAATGACCCCTAAACAAATGAGCAAGGTTGAATTATCCATGTTCTCCCTACTAACATAAAAGAATTCTCCAATTAGGCCTCAAAATTCCAGTCACGACCCTACCTATGGACACTTTACTACCCTATATTCAATCTAACAACATCAAAAATATCTTATCATCATGTAGCACTAGCTAAGAAGATGTCTTCCATAAATATGGCTCATAGTTACCCCACTAATATAACCTCTAAAAATAATAACACTGCCACCACTAGAAACATTCAATTATAGTTTGTCACTACTAGGCTCTCCTAATCCAAACTTTCTCCCCTTTCTATAATAACCACATTTAGAAGATTAACAATTAAATCTCTTCATACTAGAAGTCTATCATATTAAGTATATATCAGATCATTCTTTAATGACAAAGCTTTCCCCACATGCTTAGAGAAGTAAAAAATATAAAATAAGACCAATGGTTGACTTGGACTGTCTAGTAATCCACAAAGAAACATGAAACACTTCTTCTCTATTATTCAAACTAGGGAAAAAACCTAACTAAATATTAAACTCAGCCTTATATTGCATGAAGGTCCTACTCCCCTGAACTAATCTAATAAATGTCTATTGTATCTACTGATGTATAGAAGAGGATATAAACCTTGCTAAGAATACATTAATAAAACCATCCCATTTGATCATGGAATTAAGCCTTTCCTAGAAAATTTTCTTATATTAGCCCATTAATCAATGATCAGCTTCCCTTTCTTATAAAAAAGCCACTTAATATACTACATCTTAGGAGGACACTATATATCATCAAATATCTTCTTTAGCCTTCTTAATTAATCCTCAGCAACTCTGGGCTTAATAGCACCCTTAAATAAAAAAGGTTTCAACCTCAAAAAATTGCAAAAGTTGGTCTAAATTTATAGTACTATAATTTTTAATTGCATATATTCCCAAAAAATTTCCTATCAGAGCACTATGGTGTTGGGTAGCATGGTGCCCTAACACTATGCTCTCTAGTTTTTTGGAAATTAATTCAACACGATGGCACTGGGGGCAACAGTGTGAATAGTGATATTTTATATGTAACATTATGTCACTTGAGTGTCATGACAATAGGCGTTAAAATGATTTTTTATATTATTTAATATAAATTCCCTTACCATCCACTCCACACTTCCCCTCACTTCAGTTGCCTTTGCTAGGAGGAAAAGAAAAAAAAGGAGAAGAGAAGAGTCAGAAAGCAGGCATTTGGCTATAGATTCATTTTGTTACTTTATAATATTTCTTTGGATCATTATAGGTTACTTCTAACCTACTCCTATTTTTAACTATTATAACTTTTATGATTTTATTTCTCCTAAATTGATTTTAAATGCATAAATTAAATTATAATAAGTTGTTATTGTATATCTTTTTGAACAATATAGTACTTATTATTCTAATTATTTTGAATCAAAAGATTTGTATTTTTTTGGTTAAAATTTTTATTACCATAATTTGTATGATTTTAACAAGAATAGGATATCTACCGATGTTTGGTTTTTTTATTTGATTATACTCTTAAGACAAGCATTATGAATGAATGTAGACATGTGAAAGTTTAGAAGTTACAAGGTGTTAACTATTGTGCTGAAGGGAAAGTGTGATGACTCTATTGATAAATAACAACCTGATATTTATTTACTATTACTGAAAAAAAACCACATAAGCTAGACCACTTAGTTTAGTGTGACAACTTGAATATACATATAAGACACTAATTTATTATTACTATTACTAAATTTAGTGGTAATTTACTATTAATTTTGCTTTACTACCACTTATAACTATTATATATTTATTTATTTTAGTACTAATTTATTGTTAATTTTGCTTTACTTTTTTTAAGCTCTCATATACTATAACTATTGATTTACTATCACTGCGCATGTGATTATGATGAGAATTTGATATTGATATGGAATTAATAAATATTATATGTATATTTTTTATATGATTTCTTGATAATTTGTCTTATTTTATTGTTTATTTCAAATATATTTCATAAATAATTCTACTTTATTTATTTGGACAGCATTGATATAATGTTTTCTTTAAGAATGATTATTTACCACCTTGCCATTTTAGCATCCATACTATATTATTTTATCGAGCATATGTTTTATTATTTCTATATAGATTCATGATTATATAGACTGTTACCATTATGAGTTGAATGATTATATGCATACAATTTTCTTTTGTGCTTTGAGTTCACTAGTAGGGTTTTAGTGACCTGTTGGACTTTTTAAGCTCAATATATGTGGTTTTATATTCTAAGGTCTGGGAAGAGGAATAGGAGTATGAGATTGATCAGATATAGGATTCTTCAGGTTTTATCATTATCGTATCTTTTATTTTTTTTTAATCAAGAGTGATTAGACAATCTGGTTTGTATGTATGACTACTAGCTTTTATATATAATTTTTGGAGTAATAAAGACATATATATATACATTTATTAATAGATTTATTTTTATTTTTATTTAATTTTTTAATGAAATTAATTAGCTCTATCTAGTATTATTAAAAAAAATAAAGGATATATATATTTTTTCCAATTTAGATATCGGGTGTGAAAAAACATGGTATCATAGAGTTATTATTGGAAGAATTTAATCAATACTAGAGTTGCAAGAATTTGTTATGAATAGCATAAGATTAGATAGATTAAGGTGCATTATCTTACATAGATAATTGATTACAAGTGCGAATTATCTAGACAATATTGTGTAACTGAATAGTTTAAATGGATCAACTAGAGCAAAATGCTTTAAATGAATAATTCAGTGCAACTCCAGTGTTGTTAGATAATGTTATACAATTGGCTAGTATTGTAGCATAGGTAATGGAAGATACACAGACCAAGCCATCTAGAAGTAAGGAAGACAAGAGGAATGTGTATTGATATAAATTTTACAAAGGCCACCACTATTCAAAAGAGCTATAGATCCCTATGCTACAAAGATTTAGCTTCTAGTGATAGAGATGATCTTTGATAGTATACCATGCCCAAAGAGTTGAAAGATATTGTTAGCTATTTGTCTGTTTGAAGTTGAAGTAAAGAGATGGTGGGTAGGACAATAGTAGGAGAAAGTTCAAGTAAAATCTAAAATGAAGATTACTTTCTAAGTGTTTTTTTATAGTGTTTTTAATATGGTTTGTACCTCCCTTAGCTTGATAAAAAATGCATGAAGCATTCATAAGACTGGAATAAGAATGTGAGATAGTGATGCACTATAAAACCAATGTTACTGCACTTGCTAAGAATTCTCCCTATTTGATGCCTAGTGTAGAAGAAAAATGTTTCATATTTTGCTTGGATTGAACAGGGAGTTGAGACATCTGTTGATACCTCTACGGATTCAAGAGTTTTTGAATTGATGGATAGGAAAAGACTAATAAAATTTGATTAGGAAGTACCTACATCTAGGTATAAT